TGCTAATGAAATTCTCCTCCTCCTTGAAGGCTTGGCTCAAATCTCACTTCAAGAAAACTTTCTCTAATTGCCCAGGGCAGGTCAGATTCCTCTGCTGTATGCTCATATTACTTTATAGTTCTCATCTGTACTTTTGCAACATGTCAGTATTAGAATGAAATAATTCATTATATAATTAACAGCTTAGTGTCCATAAACTTCAAAATGGCAGAGGCTGGGTCTCTTTTTTAGTCATATCCCCATTGCCCACATCAGTGCCTTGCACATAGAAGTTGCTGAATAAATATTAGCTGAATGAATGGTTAGTATATGCAGTTGTATATGACTATGTATATAAAAAATATATATGTATATATAAATGTATATATATACATTTTTTTCCCCAAGTCAGCACATTCCCTTTTCTCTTTAGGTATTGATGTCGAGCTGGACCATTATAGAAAGCTGGAAGTCTTAAAAAGAGGATTTAATACAGTCTTTGGATTAAATTGAAACTCTGCAAAGATGGCCAAGTATGGAGAACATGAGGCCAGGCCTGATGATGGGCAGAATGAATTCAGTGACATCATTAAGTCCAGATCTGGTAGGTAACGGAAGCTTAAGAAAATGATGGATTATTATGAATAAATTACTTTAGAAGACATGGGGTTTTTTTTGGCTTGTTTTTGCATTGTTGTTGTGAGACAAACTTCTTTTGAGCAACACAGTTCTGATAAGTGACTATTGTAAAAAGTAATGAATGGGTCTCTGAGTGTCCTGTCTTAATTGCCAACTCATTTTGGTCTTATTGTATGTTTATGGGCACTGTTTGGTGAAATGCCTTCTGCCTCCTGTAGTTGAATGCTTTTCCTTGATGAGACCACCACTTTCCACACAGACACACAGCTGAGCAGTTTTTTCTTGTTGTTCGAAGTTTTATGAAGTTGAATGGATTACGTGCTTAAAGTACAAAGTAGCACAGTTTCTGGTAAGGTGGTTCTTCCTGAGTCTTGGTTCCATTACTGTATATCCTTACATAACCATGTCTTTTTGGTGGCCAGGGTCAGGCCAACAGGTATCTACCTTTGCTTTCCTTTTTGAAACTTTTTATGAGTCTCCTGAAGGGTACACCTTTCACATGGGTAACCTAAGTCAGATTGATGGTTTTCATGTGACATTTAGATTGAGGACTGAAGGGTACCACTCTCTTCCTCGTTTTATCTATCTATCTATCTATCTATCTATCTATCTATCTATCTATCTATCAATCATTGAGTGATTTTTGACTCTGGCTGTACAAATGAACAACTGGGGAGGCTTTAAAAAATGCAGATGCACTGGCTCCCCTCCAGACCTGTTGAATAAAAAATTTCTGCATTTTTAAAAATCTTCAAATATGATTCTGAGACGGGCTCTAAGGGGAGATATTTTTGAGTAGACAGGGACTTTCTGACTTTTGAAAATTACACAGAACTCCACCCTGGGTGTGAACACTATACTTAAGTAACTTTGAGAGTTACTTTGAGGTATAAAATTACTTCCAGTGTAACTTGAAAAACAAAAAAAGGAACCTAATCCCTGTTTTTGCTGTGTGAACCATCTTTATACTATGTTAGGATCCTGTTTCTTAATTATTTGAAATTGCAAAAATACGTACTGAAAATAATCTGTAAATTAATAGAGACACACATTTAAGATACATATTTCCCTCCATGATACTGGTGTTGGTTAATTGGTAAAGGTTGTGGTTGTTATAGTCTTGGCTCTAAATATGTAGCTACTGTTGTGTAACTTTAAGGATCTTTTGGAGGTACAGCTTAATATCCTGTGTTAAAGTACACTCTTAGGATGTTTTATTTCTCTAAATTTCTTTTTGTTTAAGTGTTTTTGTAGTGTAAAGTACTATGTAGATAAAAGAGATTATTAATATCTTCTTAAGAGCACAGAATGTAAATCCGGAAATATGTAAATGTAACAAAGAGGAAAAGAAAAGACACAACTTAACATATCCATGTTTGTCATGGTCTATAAGTTGTGAGGAGGCATATTCTTAGTTTTCTGAGTCAATGTCCATTACAGTAAGACCTTTGATATTGATAACTAGCCATGTCCATAGAAAAGTAATTATATAAGTTTAAAAATATTGAGTATATCTGATGAATACACATAACTTCTAAACTCTTCTTTAAATTAAATATTATCATTTAAAAAGACTGCCAGTTTTCTTACATTATTGGGGGACAGTTGGGCAGAAATTCTCATGTTTTTACCATATACATACCATTGGCTCAGTAACTCTATTTTTAGAGTGTTTCCCGAGGGAATATACAGACATGTACAAGCAGGAATTTGATCATAGCATTTTTATAATAGAAAAACATTGGACACACCGTAAAAACTCAGTACTGAGGATTGGTTAAGTCATAATTTCCCAAAGTATTTGTGAAAGAGTACGAGTTCTGACGTATACTTCAAAAACCAATGTCATGGGCCAATAACTTTAGGAAATAAGTGGTTAACCTGCTTTGTTCCTTTAGTGTAGGGCATCGGAACAGATCATGTAGAATCTCAGTGGAGCTAATTAAAATAGGGTATATACATAAAGTAGAACGTTGTACATTTACAAAAATGTTACGGATGTGTATAAAATACATTCATGATATTGTTAAGTAAAAAGTGTAATATGAAGTCCTATATGTGGGAAATACTTATTTCAAGAAGATTTAGCAGAGCATATGTTCATCTTGGTACTGTGGCATTATCATTTTTCTCTTTTTTGCTCATCTGTATTTTCTAAAGTTCTTTAATGAGTCTGTATTATGTAGCTCTTACATTTTTAAAGACTCTCAAATTGCTTAGAGTGTTTTAATGCCACAGCTATGACTGTTACTTTGGTGGCACCTACTTCACAACACATTGAGAAGTTAGCTGTTGCATAGCTGAGATATGAATCACTTTCTTTTGGCTGGATTATGTTGCAAAAGTCCGTAGATAAATTTGGATTTGAATGGGCCTGTATTAGTCCCAATCTTGCTTTCTGGAAGGCACTTTTTTGATTCTTTTAAGGTAAATATTAGTATACGGTGGTCAGGTCTCATAGTACTCTAAAATTTACGTATTGAAAAGGGATTTTTAGTTCATTTTATGTCAAAGGAATCGTCTACATATAATGCATATTTTTAAAGATCTTCCTTGGATGTGTTCTATCCTGAATTTTTGACCTTTTCAGTATTTTAAAGGAAAATGCAAAACTATGTACTGAAAATAATTTGTAAATTAACAGAGATACACGTTTAAGATACATATTTTTCTCCATGGGAATTTTATTTTTTTAGGAAATAAAATACAGTGAATTTTCTTATAGGAAAATTTTAATACTAATCTGTTCCTCTAAATTTCTTCCTTTTGGGGGACTAGATTTGGGGGAGGGGTAGAGATTGGGTGGGGAAAAAATTGCTATTGAGAGTATATTGATCACTTAAATCTGGGTTTATGAAGATTCTTCTCTTTCTTCCCTGAATCCTTGGGTTTGGGCAGCGTAAAAGCCTGGCATAATAGAAATATTTTTGCATTTAAGTTACTAGAATTATTTCAAAAAAATTTTTTTTTAATTTTAGAGAGAACAAGCAAGCGGGGAGCAAGGATAGGGGTAGAGGGAGAGAGAGAGAGGGAGAGAATATCTTAACTAGGTTCCACACTCAGCATGGAGCCCAATGTGGGGCTCAATCCCAGAACCCTGGGATCATGACTTGAGCCAAAATCAGCAGTCGGACACTCAACCCACTGAGCCACCCAGGTGCTCCAGTCTCCTATATGTTCATATTGCTATTTGGCATTTTTCTTGTTTTGTGTGTTTGTTAATGTCCTCCCCACTAGAATTTAATTCTACAAGAGCAGGGACCAGTACATCCCTGGCATCAAGCCTAGGGCCCAGCTCTTAGTAGGTGAGCAATGAATGTTTATTCAATGAGAAAGGCTACAGAGCTGGAAAGTGCCAGAGCTGGGATTAGAATGCAGTTGCTCTGACTCCAGAAACTCTGCGTTTGACCTCTGCATATTGCCGAGTCTCCTACTAATTTACAAGGTAGTTTATTTCACTGCTGCTGGATGATTCTTCATTTGTCCCTGAACTTACTGCTTATTAATTTTGCACAGTATTAATTCGGTTTATACATCCCTCTGTCTCTTCCCTCCTATTCATAGACCCTGGGCTATGAGATAAGCTTCTCCAGGCTCTCTGGCATCATAGCCCTGCCAAGGGAGGGCCAGTTGTAGGTGATACAGCCTGCTGCTCCCAGACTTGTCCCGGTCTTTCTCGCTTCTAGTCTCTGTCATTTATTCTTAAGGGTTAGCAAAGGGGAAAATGCCAGAGGACAGGCAGTCCTTTGGGTAGAAGGCAGAGAAATTGATAATTTGTTTGTGACGTGAATTCCCTTTTCTTTTTTCCTTTGACTGTTGCTCAAGGCTTTTCACTGGCTGGTGAAAAAAAGGTAGTGGATTTCAGATGCACTGCGATTTGGCACAGTTTAAGTCCTGGTCTGATGCCCAGATGGATATCTCTAGGATTGAAAGAGTTGGTAGAGGTGGGGGAAGGGGGAGGGAAGAAAAGAGAGAGGCCAGTGAAATAAAAATAAAATGAATTATTTAATAAGGAATATTATACCTGGTTACATTTATAGCAAGCCTCCTAGAAATATGCTGTGTTTGCAATAAAGTAAACTTGCTTAACAAGATTCAGTTTTATGAAAATTATGAGGAAGATTACCTTATTTGTTTCTCTTTCAGTGGCCTTTCTTTAGGAAGGACACTGGTTATGTTGCATTTAGGGAGTCCTTGATCTACTTTTCTCTTTCATTTAAAGAAATATCTGTGAGGGGATTTTTCTAAATAGCTTGAAGGACTATGAAAAATTATTCTTTTTTCCCCCCCTGAAGCTTTACTTGGCTGGAATACCTATGCTTTGGAGCGGGCTCTTTGAACAGGTTTGTTTTTTTCCATGAGCCCTGGGGATTTGTGGTGAGGGATGGTAACCCTGATGGAAATTCAACTCTGACTGAGGAGTGCAGCTATTCTTGTAATGCGTATAAAAATATTCTCCATGTTGTCGCCTCATTACGTTGAAGGAGTGCAGTTCTAGAAGAGCCTCTGTATTAATGTGATTCTCATGATCTGTTACTGTGGTGGTGGAAGCTCTGTAGGTGACCCATTCCCAAATGGAAAACATGAATTGCTGAGAATGTTCTAAGCGATGGAGGTGCATTAATTATATGGACAGAATGGAAAACTCAATTTTATTGAACCTTACTTGAGGCCAGAAGTTTGAACCAGAGGCTGATAGGATGATTTTCTGGGAACAAGCGAACATGCAAGATTATTGCAGCAGTTGTAAATATTAGTTAAAATTTAATTGTGAAAGGATACTCAGGTGGTTTCAGATGTAGGGGCTAGACTGTTTTCCCTTAAGCTGTGTGTGGAGGCAGAGGTAGTTACTATATTACTATTTTTATTTTTTTGTATGCCTTAGCTGTTTAATAATAAATATACTCAATTCAGGATTTGAAATGTGAGTCATTGTGAGTTTTTAATATATATTTACTCTTGAAA